CCCTACTGTGAGACTTCATTTAGGCCGGTCTCGGCGCTTCGGCTTACATCTGGTGAAGACGACTTACAGGTGGTGGTCCCTAAGTTCCCGTTCTTTCGCCTTGATTCGTTCCAACTCGTCTCCATCCGCGGGGTTGGTTCCAGCGGCATTTTCCGGTCGTGTCCACCATTCATTGCGCGAGAAGCGGCCTTTTTTGCCTTGCATTCCGACCATCACTGACTGGCCGAGGTAGCACTCTCGGTCTTTGATTGGTTGGCTGGCTACATCCTTCCAATGAAACTGCTCTCTGCCGCCTCGCGCGTGATCTCTGACAGGGGCGTCTGCCCCCCCGCTATTGTTTACTAAATCCATTCGCAAAAAAACACCACCGAGCTTCAGACACAAATCGCACCAAGGTTCTCATTAGACGCAATAATCTCAGACGCACTAATCTCAGACGTACCACTACTCAGACGTACTACTCAGACGCACACCACATTAGATGTCAATCAGCATACAGATCGTCATGACATCAGTGTCAAGAGCGCTCACTTCAAGGTCATGTTTGGTAATCGCCTTAACCTCAGTACCTTGAGAGTGTCGACTACCGTCAAACTTTTCACCATAACATATACCTCGGATACTATCACCCAATACCGAACCCTCACAAGTCAGTGTCGACCAATCGGAACAAATCAACTCTTTCGTCGACGCCTCCATCAATGTTGCAGGCAGCTCCAATTCCATCTCCCGGACCATAAAATATTGGTCGCAGTATAACTCAAACACACAGTTCACCACATTGAAGATAAACTGACTCAAATTCTCAGACTTTGGAATATCCACTGTCATCACTTCCTTTGGCTCTACACGACTCACATCAGTCATATAAGCATATACACCTTTGCATAGACCAACTAAACACTCATCGAACTTTCCCGTCGCTCGGATTCTAACATCAGCCGGATGGTCCTCATCTAAACACAATGACCATTGCCCTCAAGAATTCGGTCCTTATCCCTGCCCTCGAATTCGGTCCTTATCCCTGCCCTCGAATTCGGTCCTTATCCCTGCCCTCGAATTCGGTCCTTATCCTTGTCATAGGATGCCTCTTACATGAGTAGTTTTTAGGATGGTGCGGAACTTTACCGGCAACCGTTGCGACTACTGGAACCTCAGTATTCCTCGAAACATTCAAACCCACAAACCCGGCACCGGTGCCACTCCCTTCACTTCGCCTCCATCTACGGAATAATGAGCTTCAGAAAATCACGTTTTCATTACGGCTTTCTTTTAGTTATACGTTCGGAACCCAACATAAAATTTCTAGTCATTCCCGCACGTCATTCCCGCACGTCATTCAAATAATGTCTACGTACCAACGGGCTTTGGGGGGTTTGGGGGGG